GAGGGGGGGCGGGGGGTCTGTCTCTGATTTCCATGATTCAGCCTGGGGAGTTTCCAGAGGGAACAAAAGCCCCACTCAGGCCCAAGGAGATGCCCATGGGACACTGGTCTTGGAGGCTGGGAGAAGTGCAGACCTGGCCAGAGAGCAGAGCACAAGTCCAGCTACGAATGGACACACATACAAGGACACATTGACCATTCCTAGCACCTAGCAGATGGCCTGGGGTGGGACATGCCCTCAATACACTAGGGTCTCCCCAAGACTACTACCCCAAAATTGACTGCCAAGAACAGAACAGGGGGCTGCAATCATGTTTCCTGGATTCCACACCCCCTGACACTCTTATACCCCTCCTCCCAGGGCAGGCACAACCCCCTTGCCTGGGGACAGAAACAGGCTGCTGAGAAAACCCCAGGAGTACATAGGCTCTGTGCTTCCTCACAGAACTCCCAAAAAGTTCTGGAAGAGGGGATCAGCCTATTTCATGGATAGGAAAACTGAGGCCCAGGAGGTATACCCTGACCTGGGGCTCGAGGGAGTGAGGTGCAGAGCCCGGGACACCTCTAAAAGACAACCTTCCTCAACAGCCAGGTTCCTTCTCTGGACGAGTGAAAGGATGAGGAGGGGTCTTCCTTGCAGTGTGACCTTGGCCTATGGCCTCTGAGCCCATTTCCCCATCTGTAACATGGGACCGTGAAGATAAGAGCTAACATGAATGAAGGCCTCCCTGTGTGCCAAACACTGATCATTCCTTGTCTCATTGAATCCTCATACGTACTTTCTTAAGTAATATTATTGCCCCTTTTAGAGCAGTTAATTTGATAAGCAGTTATGATGTAGAGAAAATGATGCCTTCCCCATTTAAAACCACCTGGACCTTAGCTAACGTTTTGCAAAGTGGTGACATCAGCCTGGAATCAGAGCCCATACACTTGCTTAGGACCTCCCTGCTTGTGGGTCTCACTACTAGGCAAGCCAGGGAAGGCTAGTTCAGACATTGGCCCAAG